CCCCCCCGGGGGGCCCCCCCTCCGGGGGCCCCCCGGGGGCCCCCTGGGTACCACTCTGAAGGGCGTGGGGCCCTGCTACGCGACGAAGGCTGCACGGATTGGCGTGCAGGCCTGGGAGTTGGGGAGTTGGGATCGGTTTGAAGAGAAGTACTTGGCTGTTGCTGCTGCGCTGCAGCAGCAGTGTGGGGCCCCACTAGGTGTGGGGTGTGCAGCAGAGCTCGAGGAGCACCGGGTGTACAGACACCTGCTCGCCCCACAACTCACTGACACCGCCCCGCTGCTGCTGGGGGCTGTCTTGTGTGGGGCCCGTTTGCTGCTGGAAGGGGCTAATGCTGCGCTGCTGGACTTGGACTTGGGGACTTATCCTTTTGTGACTTCCTGCTGCACCACAGCAGCAGCAGCAGCAGCAGGGCTGGGGCTGCCGCTGCGCTGCTTCGCCCCACACTTTGCTGCAGTTGTGGGGGTGGCCAAGGCCTACTCCACGCGTGTGGGGCGGGGCCCCTTCCCCACGGAGCTGCGGGATCGAGTGGGGGATCGTCTCCAGCGTGTGGGGCGGGAGCTGGGATCGACTACTGGCCGATCCCGCCGCTGCGGCTGGCTCGACCTCCCGCTGCTGCTGCATGCAGCAAGACTCAATGGATTTGACTGTCTCTTTTTGAACAAGTTGGATGTCTTGTCGGGGATCGATCCCCTGCTGCTGTGCGTGGCTTACAGAGACAGCAGCAGCGGGCTGCTGCTGCCGCCCCACACTTTTCCCGCTGCAGCGCAGCAGCTGCAGCAGGTCCTTCCGGTGTACGAACACCTCCCGGGCTGGCAGCAAAACATTTCCCGCTGCAGATCTTTCCACCAACTCCCCCCCAACGCTCAGCTGTACGTACACCGCGTCCAGCAGCTCCTCGGCATCCCCGTCGCCTTCATCGGCGTCGGGCCCGACACAGACGACGTCATCCGCAACTTCTAACCCAAACCTAGCTAGCTAGCTAGCTAGCTAGCTAGCTGGCTAGCTGGCTAGCTAGCTGGCTAGCTGGGTGGCTGGCTGGGTAGCTAGCTCGGTGGGTAGCTAGCTGGCTAGCTGGCTGGGTAGCTAGCTGGATAGCTGGCTGGCTAGCTGGCTGGGTGGGTGGCTGGATAGCTGGATAACTGGCTGGCTAGCTGGCTAGCTGGCTGGGTAGCTAGCTGGCTAGCTGGGTGGGGTGGGGGTGGGGAGGGAGGAGAGGAGAGGGCGGGAACTGGCTAGCTAGCTAGCTCGAGATCTTCCTAGCTAGCTAGCTGGAAAGCTAGCTAGCTGGAAAGCTAGCTAGCTGGAAAGCTAGCCAGCTGGAAAGCTAGCTAGTAGTAAAGCTAGCCAGCTGGAAAGCTAGCCAGCTGGAAAGCTAGCTAGTAGTAAAGCTAGCCAGCTGGAAAGCTAGCTAGCTGGGGAGCTAGCTAGCTGGGGAGCTAGATTGCTAGCTAGCTAGCTGGGGAACTAGATTACTAGCTAGCTAGCTGGGGAACTAGATTGCTAGCTAGCTAGCTAGCTGGGGAGGTGGGTGGGCGGACGCAGCAGCAGCTAGCCAAGACGCGCAGCTAGCTGCAGCCAAACAGATAGGCAACGGCTAGCCACACAGCTAGCCAAATGGGCTGCAGAGAAGCTCGCTATGGCTAGCTAGCCACATGGCTAGCTAGCCGCACACCTAGCTAGCCACGCGGCTAGCTAGCCACACACCTAGCTAGCCATGCGGCTAGCTAGCCACACACCTAGCTAGCCACACGGCTAGCTAGCCACATAGCCACTGTATAGCCAAATAGCTAGCGAAGTAGAACGTGAAGGGGCCAGGCATGCAGCTAGCCAAGCAGCTAGCCAAACACTGGCCAAGCAGCTAGCCAAGTAAGTAGTTAAACAGCTAGCTAAAAAACTAGTTAACAGCTAGCTAAGCAACTAGCAGCTAGCTAATTAGACTGCGAAAAGACCAGCCAAACAGCGCGGACCGCAGCGCCAATAGCTAGCCAAACAGCTAGCCAACTAGCTAGCCAAATAGCTAGCTAGGCAGCTAGCTAGGCAGCTAGCTAGGCAGCTAGCCAAAGCCGCAGCAGAGAAACTAGTGTGCAGACCCTCTTACGAGCAGCCGCAGCTAGCTAGTCAGCTAGCCAGCCAGCTAGCCAGCTAGCTAGCCAGCTAGCTAGCTAGCAAGCTAGCTAGCTAGCTTCTTAGTTAAACAGCGAAGGTGGGGCTCAATGAGGGATGAGGGCGCGGCGAAAGCGGGCACTGCTGCTGCAGCTGCTGCTGCCGTTGCAGCAGCTGCTGCAGCTGCTGCTGCAGCTGCTGCAGCAGCTGCGAGGTGTACGTACACCCCGCGCTGCTGCTGCTCGAGACCCAGTTTGGCTTCTGGGCTGTCTGTACACCCCACGGCTGCTGGGGTGTACGTACACCGGACTGAACGAACGCGTTTGTTTGCTTTTCATAAATTGGGAAGTTTTGGGAAATTTGTTTTTCTTAATTTGCAATTTTAATTCTTTTTTATTTCCAGTTTTGCATTTTATTTTTGAAGAATAGTTCGTTCGGGACAGAAGGCGTTTGTGCTGCGCTGCTCAGAGGCACTGGCCAGCAGCAAACCTAAGCAGCAGCAGCAGCAGCAGCTGCTGCTGCTGCAGCAGCCGCAGCAGCTGCAGCAGCAGATGCAGCAGCAGCTGCAGCAAAACGCGAAACTAGGGGCATAGCCACTGCTGCCGCATCGCGCGCTGAGACGCAGCAATAAGGCTGCTGCTGCTGCTGTGCTGCAGCAGTGCACGCGCTCCTGCTGCTGCTGCAGCAGCAGCAGCAAAGTCAGTTCGGTGCTGCTATCGCTGCAGCTGCTGCTGGAGCAACTGCTTTTTCCGCAGGCAGTGCCAAAGGCACCAATGCGTGCACTGCAGCAGCAGCAGCAGCTGCTGCTGCTGCTGCTGCTGCTGCTGCTGCGGGGTTGGCTGCTCTAGGAGCTGCTGCAGCCTGAACACCAGGCTGACTTTTGGTCTGCAGCAGTTTTGTTTATTTGAAATCCAGCTTGAGGGTCTTGCTCCTTTCGACTTTTGGGCAGGCGGCGTGCTGCAGCAGCAGCAGCAGCAGCAGCAGCAGCAGCAACAGCAGCAGCGAAAGCGGGGGTCAGCGACACGCAGACGCAAAAGAAAAAGCAGCTTCGGTGTACAGACACTCCAACTAAAGCCGCTAGGTTTGGCTGCGGTGTATGTACACCTCAACTAGGGTTTGCTGCGGTGTATGTACACCTCAACTAGGGTTTGCTGCGGTGTATGTACACCTGAGGACCCACCGATTTCGTAGAAGAGCTCATTTACGTTTTGTCCAGTTTTTGCTGAAGTTTCAATAAAGAATATTCCCTTCTCTTCAGCGTATTGCTGCGCCTCCTGTTGCAGTGCAGCAGCAGCAGCAGCAGCAGCAGCAGCAATGCAGCAGCAGCAGCAGCAGCAATGCAACAGCAGCAGTGAAAGGCATTGCAGGGACAGCAGCATTATTAGCAGCAGCAGCAGCAAGCACAGCAGCAGCAGCAGCAAGCACAGCAGCAGCAGCAGCAAGCACAGCAGCAGCAGCAGCAAGCACAGCAGCAGCAGCAAGCACAACAGCAGCAGCAGGCACAGCAGCTACTGCAGCAGCACAGCAGCAGCAACAAAAGTGCTAGGGCAGCAACAGGAGCAGCAGTCCGTGCTGCAGCGGCACCAGCACTTGCAGTCCCCGCCCCAAACCCTAAACCCTAAACCCTAAACCCTAAACCCTAAACCCTAAATGGACTGACTTGGGTTTTCACAGCCCTCTCAGCAGACAAGTCGATTTTGTTCCCCGCCAGAGCTGCGCGCCCCACAAAACTCAAACTAAACCCTAAACCCTAAACCCTAAACCCTAAACCCTAAACCCTAAACCCTAAACCCTAAATCGCAAGGCAGAGTGGAAACCCTTAGCTCTGAAGTTTGAGCACCAGGCCCAACGCCCCGCCCCTAGCAAAGCCGGAGACCCAGAAAACCCTAAACCCTAGCCTCTAAACCCTAAACCCTAAACCCTAAACCCTAAACCCTAGCTGACCCATGACGAGGGAAGACTGGTCGCTGATTGCCTGCAGCTCTGCCACCCAAGACTTCGCCCCCTCGAAGGACTCGCGGCTTGTTGTGTCGTAAACAATAACTGCTGCTGCTGCTCCCCTGCAGCAGCAGCAGCAGCAGCAAGTGCAGCAGCAGCAGCAAATGCAGCAGCAGCAGCAAATGCAGCAGCAGCAACAGCGCGCTGCGAGCAGCAGCAACAAATAATGCATCGGCACCAAACGCAGCAGCAGCAGCAGCTGAAACAACGGAACCCACAGCCGCTGCAGCATCCGAAGCAGCAGCAGCAGCAGCAGCAGCAGCAGCAGCAGCAGCAAACCGATCAGGCGGCCCCAGCAGCACGCGCTGCACCTCCCCAGGCCGCAGCTAAAACCCTAGGCCCCAACCCGCACCCCTCGCCCCCAACCCCAACCCCAGCCTAAACCCTAAACCCTAAACCCTAAACCCTAAACCCTAAAACCCTAAACCCTAAACCCTAAACCCTAAAGAAGGGCGAAATGTTGCACAGCGAAGTCAACAAACTGTTCACCAACGCGGGGGTGTTTCCCGCGCCCTGCATAAACCCTAAACCCTAAACCCTAAACCCTAAACCCTAAACCCTAAACCCTAAACCCTAAACCCTAAACCCCCACCCTAAACCCTAAACCCTAAACCCTAAACCCTAAACCCTAAACCCTAAACCCTAAACCCTAAACCCTACCTGTAGTACATGGGGGCCAAAGACCTGTACCTCTCTTGTCCCGCTGTGTCCCAAATCTCAAACTTGACAACACAATCCCCCAAGTCCACAGACTGCGTCATGAAGGCCGCTGCAGCACAACCACCAACAGCTGCTGCTGCTGCTGCTGCTGCTGCTGCTGCTGCTGCTGCTGCTGCTGCGGTTGCTGCGGCGGCGGCTGTGGCTGCTGCTGCAGCTGCTGCTGCAGCTGCAGCTTGCTAGGGGCCGCCGTTCTGCGTTGCGCCGCGCCGCCAGCGGCGCCCCCCAAACCCCAAACCCCAAACCCTAAACCCTAAACCCTAAACCCTAAACCCTAAACCCTACCGCCAATGGTGCTTTCCTGGTACTCGTAGAACTCGTCTTTTGCAAACCTAACCACCAAGCAGCTTTTGCCCACGCTGGTGTTTCCCAGCAGCACGAGTTTGAAGTGCAGCACTTTCCTTTGAGCAGCAGCAGCAGCAGCAGCAGCAGCAGCAGCAGCAGGAGAAGCAGCAGGCAGCAAACCCTCGCGGGGCGCAGAGCCCTCAGGGCCCCCAGCACTGGGGGACTGCGACATTGCGGCTGCTGCTGCAGTTGCTGTTGTTGTTGCTGCTGCTGCTGCTGCCGTTGCTGCTGCTGCTGCTGCTGCTTGTGCTGTTGCCACTGCTGCTGCTGCTGCTGCTGCTGCAGCTGCGGCTGCTGCGGCTGCTGCTCGAGGGGGCGCAAAGGCTTCCGTAACAAAGAGATACGCCCCAGAGAAGAGGCAGGCGCTGGGGGCCTCCGTAAACCCTAAACCCTAGACCCTAACCCTTAACCCTAAACCCTAAACCCTAAACCCTAAACCCTAAACCCTAAACACTAGCCGCGGCTAGGCAGAGGGACTCGAATGACTCGGCCAGAGCGCAGGCGAGGCCAGCGCCCCGGGGGGAACCCTTTGCTGGAACCCTAAACCCTAAACCCTAAACCCTAAACCCTAAACCCTAGAGCCGCCGACGGGACTCACTGCTGTCAGCAAAAGGGCCGCCGGCGGAGCTGCAAAGGGTAAATGCTGAGGTGTCTGTACACCTGAAACTCTTTATTAGTCCTCAAAAGTCTCAAATTGCATGCGTGTATTGCGGCAGGGCTATTTTGCAGCAGCAGCAGCAGCTGCTGCTGCTGCTGCAGCAGCAGCAGCTGCTGCTGCTGCTGCTGCTCGCGTTGCAGCAGTAGCCGTGCTGCTGTATCTGCTGCTGCAAGAACTTACTCGGTGAAGCAACACGCAGAATTTGTCTTTTTGGAAACTTTGAACCCTAAACCCTAAACCCTAAACCCTAAACCCTAAACCACAAATCCTGAACTGCCGGCGACGCTGTGTCGGCGATCACCAACAGGCGGTACAACAGCAGGAACCCTAAACCCTAAACCCTAAACCCTAAACGCTAAACCCTAAACCCTAGAACACGCCTCAAGGGCTTTCGCTGCACACCTGGGGCGGTTCAGCCTGTGTTGGCGAAGCTCTCGGTCCTCAAAACCCTAAACCCTAAACCCTAAACCCTAGACGCTAAACCCTAAACCCTTGTAAAGCTGCAGGATTTCGCCATATACAGCTAGAAATTAAACCTGAATGCGAAAATGATAACTTCTGCCTTTTTTTCAGGTGCTGAGGGTTTAGGGTTTAGGGTTTAGTGTTTAGGGTTTAGGGTTTGGCCAGTAAACCCTGGTCAGAAGGCGCTAGCCAATGGCTCGTGCAGAGCCCTCAGCTGCCACAGAAGCTAGGGTTTGGGGTTTAGGGTTTAGGGTTTAGGTCTTAATGCCTAGGGTTTTGTTTCTACGGCTTAGGGTTTAGGGTTTAGGTCTTAAGGTCTAGGGTTTGGGGTTTAGTTTCTTTGACTACTTTCTTTCCTTCAAATCCTCGGCCTCATTCACTACTCGTGCGCTTTGTAACTCAGGGTTTAGGGTTTAGGGTTTAGGGTTTAGGGTTTAGGGTTTAGGGTTTAGGGTTTGAACTGGCTGCCTTCTCAGCCGTGCCCCAATACATCTAGAAAACAAGGCGCAGCGGCATGCTCTTCGATTCTGCATTTCCGCTGCTGCTGCTGCTGTTGCTGCTGCTGCTGCTGTTGCTGCTGCTGCTGCTGCTGCTGCTGCTGAGAATAGCAGCAAAACGTGGGCCCTGGCGTTCAAGCCTTCCTCTCTGCTGCACTATCTAAAACTTAAATAAAAGGAAACGGATTAAATATGTCTTTACAGCATCCATTGTTGCTGCTGCTATTAATTACTGCTGCAGCAGCAGCAGCTGCTGCTGCTGCTGCAGCTGCTGCTGCTGCAGCTGCTGCTCTCGCTTCTGCTGCTATTTCTGCAGCTCTTGCTGCTGCTGCCGGTGCTGCTGCTGCCTTTGCTGCTGCTGCACCTGTGCTGGCTACTAATGCCAGGGAGGGCCCCGGCTCGAGCAGCAGCTGCTGCTGCAGTTGCTGCTGCTCTTCGCCTCGATCAAATTCTTGCCACCCTACCTGCTGTTGCTGCTGCTGCTGCTGTTGCTGCTGCTGCTGCTGCTGCTGCTGCTGCTGCTGCTGCTGCTGCTGCTGCTGCTGCTTATTGGCCAGCGACAAGGTCTTCATGCAGCAGCTGAAACCTCCAGAGATAGACTTTGTCTTTGGGGTTTTCGGGCAGCAGCAGCTCTTTATAGGGGTACTCTCTGTTCTCCTTAGCAGCAGCAGCAGCAGCTGCTGCTGCTGCTGCTTGTGTTGCTGCTGCTGCTGCCTTCAGCGACGCAAAGTCAGGAACTACTCCTCTTGCTGCCCCACCTTTCGGGGGCCCCTGTGCCTGTGGGGCCCCCTGTGGGGCCCCACAGGGACCCAGGGGGGCCCCCAGGGGGGCCCCCAGGGGGGCCCCCAGGGGGGCCCCAAGGGGGGCCCCCAGGGGGGCCCCCGGGGCCCCCGTGGGGCCTTCTGGGGGCCCTATTAAGAGGGTACTAAAAATGGCCATAATTTCAATTGGCTGTTTGTCAAGAAGAGGGCAAAGGGACTTGCGAAATAATCCCAAGTCGAATTCGTAAGTTGAGGGGAGAAAGAAGTTCTGCAGCCACAAACCCTAAACCCTAAACCCTAAACCCTAAACCCTAAACCCTAGCCACTCGGGCAACGCAAAGGATGAGTGCACGCAGTTGGCGGAAAACGCGCAAACCCTAAACCCCAGCGGCAAGCCCTCGTGGTGCAAACCCTAAACCCTCGTGATGCAAACCCTAAACCCTCGTGGTGCAAACCCTAAACCCTCGCGGTGCAAACCCTAAACCCTAGCTGTAAACCCTAAACCCTCGGAAACCGAAAACCCTTCGAGGCAAAGACAGCAAAGGAAAGAAAATTAAAAAATAAAAAAATAAAAAGAATGAAAAAGGAAAAAAAAGAGATTGGTGAATAAGAGAAAAAAGATAAATCCATAACTAAAATAAAAGAAAGAAAAAGAAAAAAGAAAAAGAAAAAAGAAACAAAAAAGAAGCAAAAATGGAAATAATAAAACACAAAAGGGTACAAAAGGGAATCAAATAAAACCCAAAAAGAAAAAAAATTAAAACAAAAAGATATTGGAAAAAGAGATAAAAGAAGTTAAAAATGAATAAGTAAATAAATAAATAAATAAATAAATAAATAAATAAATAAATAAATAAATAAGTAATAAACAAATAAATAAATAAATAAATAAATAATAAATAAAAGCGGCTGACCTGTGCAAAGTCCAGAGTGTAAATGTGTTGGGGATTAAATCGAATTTCTTTGAGGGTTTTCAAAGACAAAAGTTTCTTTTTTCTTTCAGAAACAGAAAGACTTTTGCTGCTGCTGCTGCTGCTGCTGCTGCTGCTGCTGCTGCTGCTGCTGCTGCTGCTGCTGCTGCTGCTGCTGCTGCTGAGCAGCAGCCGCGTGTCTTCTTCCACGTTGAGGCTCTGCAGCAGCGGCGGCGGACAGCTCCCGCTGCACCGCATTGCGTCCCAAACCCTAAACCCTAAACCCTAAACCCTAAACCCTAAACCCTAAACCCTTTAGCCTAAGTCCTAAGACACAGCTCGCGCAGCCCCGACGAAAAACCCTCGGCAGCACAAAGCGACAACGGGCAACAAAAAAGAGTTCTAAAACGCGCTAAGGGTTTAGGGTTTAGCGTTTAGCGTTTAGGGTTTAGGGTTTAGGGTTTAGGGTTTTGGGTTTAGGGTTTCGCTCTCACTCGGAAACGTGAATCTTCTCCGCCAGGCAAACGAGAGGAGACAGAAAAAAGGGCTCCGTGTCGGAGCAGATATCTTCCTGCGCAGACAAGCCCTAAACCCTAAACCCTAAACCCTAAACCCTAAACCCTAGACCCTAAACCCTAAACCTTGTTTTGAAATGCGGTGACATCAACTCCACATGGCGCACAGCAAAAAGAAATGACCCTTGAGGCGCTCAAGCGTCCAGCGCGGCACTCTGTCCAACCCTAAACCCTAAACCCTAAACCCTAAACCCTAAACCCTAGACCTGCCTCGATTAAGTCTGTGAGGGTTTTGACAACTTGAATGCCTAAAGAGACAATCCAACGGGGAGGCAAATGCTGCAAGGGTTTAGAAAAAACCTGACCCGACAAAATCTCTCCTAGGCGCCACGGGTGGAGGAACCGCCCCTGCGCGCAAACCCTAAACCCTAAACCCTAAACCCTGAACCCTAAGCCCTAAACCCTAAACCCTAGAGCCTAAGCTTCAGGCAGGGTTCTGCAGACGGGATGCTCGCCAAGGCCTGCGTGGGGATCCAGAAGAGCTGCAACGTGGACGGAGGGCAAATAGTAGCTCAAGAAACAAACCCTAAAACCTAAACCCTAAACCCTAAACCCTAAACCCTAAACCCTCGCACCTGCAGTAGAACCCTCATCGTCGCCTTGGGAGCCCCCGGGCCGCAGTCTTTCATGCCGCCGATGCCTTGGGAGCAAACAATGGCCCTAAGCACAAACACGCAGGCCCTAACCCTAAACCCTAAACCCTAAACCCTAAACCCTTAACCCTAAACCCTAAACCCTCAGCCTCCCTCCTGGCAGCAAGTGCCCCAAACCCTACACCCTAAACCCTGGAACTTACGCTCCCTTGAAGTATGGCGTCTCGAAGCAGTGCACAGCTGCAGAGTCGCATCAGCAAGGCACTCTAAACCCTAAACCCTAAAACCTGGACTGCAGCGCCAGCTGCCCAAACCCTAAGAACCCGCTGACTTTGTGCGAGCTCTTGCCTAAAGTTGCCCTTGTTTTTAGGGTTTAGGGTTTAGGGTTTAGGGTTTAGGGTTTAGGGTTTACCCTTTGAGACCGGCTGGTCCGCAGAGAGCAAATAAAGAGGAGGAGGAGGAAAGCGAAAACGAAGATGGCTAAAGTGCTTCGAGCGCTGCAGCAGTAAGCACACATAAGATGAAGTGTGAGCAGCAGCAGCAGCAGCAGCAGCAGCAGCAGCAGCAGCAGCAGCAGTAACAGCAGCAGCAGTAACAGCAGCAGCAGCAACAACAGCCGCATCAGCTGTAGAAGCGGCAGCAGCAGCCGGAAAAACAGCCGCAATAGCAATGGCAACAGTTACAGCAGCAACAGCAGCAGCAGCAGCAACAACGAGAGCAGCAGCAGCAGCAGCAGCAACAGCAGCAGCAGCAACAACGAAAGCAGCAGCAGCAGCAGCAGCAACAGCAGTAGCAGCAACAGCAGCAGCTGCGCACTGCAGCCAAGCCCTAGGCTCCCGTAGCAGCTGTTGCAGGCCGCAAACCCTCGCTCTTCCCTCCCCGTGCCGCCCAGCCCTAGCCCCTAAACCCTAAACCCTAAACCCTAAACCCTAAACCCTAAACCCTAAACCCTACTTGGTCGCTGCCTGCTGCTTCCTTGGTCCTGCGGCGCTGCTGCTGCAGCGCCTCCAGCAGCCACGGCTCGGCTATGGCCCGCAGCAGCAGCGGCCGCTGCGGCCAGCTGGAGGGGGGGGGGTGTGGGGCCGCAGCACTAGTGGCCCGGGGCTGGAAGCTGGCGGCCCCACACGTGCATTTGCTGCTGCTGCTGCTGCTGCTGCTGCTGCTGCTGCTGCTGCTGCTGCTGCTGCTGCTGCGGCTGCTGCGGCTGTGTTGCAGCAGCCAGGTGCCGTCGCCGCTGCCCGGGACCATCAGCACTGCCGCGTCCGCAGCGAGCTTTGCGCCCGACTTGCTGCTGCTGCTGCTGCTGCTGCTGCTGCTGCTGCTGCGGCCGCGGCCGCGACGCGCGCTGCTGTTGCTGCAGCTCCTGCTGCTGCTGGCGCTGCACATGCAGGTAGCCCTTTTTGCTGCTTCCTCGATGAGCAAGTTGCTGCTGCTGCTGCTGCTGAGGCGGCCGCTGGCAGCAGCGCCGTGAGGCGCAGCGAGGGACGCGTGCACACCAACAGCAGCAGCAGCTGCTGCTGCTGCTGTTTGCTGCAGCTCAACTGCAGCAAGAGTCTCGTCTGCCCGCTGCTGCTGCTGCTGCTGCTGCTGCTGCAGGGTGCCGAGTTTGCTGTTCTCTATGCTGGCCTGAGTCTGGGGGGTCCAAGCTTCCTCGTACTCCCCCGCAGGAAGGACGTTGCTGCTGCTGTTGCTGCTGCTGCTGCTGCTGCTGCTGCTGCTGCAGCTGGGGACGGACCTGCCAAGCGCGAGGGCAGCGGCGTTGGGGGGAGCAGTTGCTGCTGTTGCTGCTGCTTCTGCTGCTGCAGCAGCAATTGCAGCCACGGAAGCAGCAGTCAAAGGCCTCTGGCTTTGGTGCAGCGCAGCAGCAACAGCACGAGAAGCAGCAGTTGAGGAGCGCAGGGATTTGACTGAGGTGTACAGACACCCGATTGCTGCTGCTGCTGCAGCAGGCAGCAGCGCAGCAGCAGCAGGGTGCATCAGGAAGCCAGATGCAGCAGACCAGATCCAGCTGGGCCAGTTGGCAGCTGCTGCTGCTGCTGCTGTTTGCCCTTGCGCAGCGAACAGCAGCAGGAGCAGCAGCAGCGGGAGACAGCACGGCAGCAGCAGCAGCAGCAGCAGCACAAGGGAGCACTCAATAGCCCTTTCAAGCCCCTCCGTTGTTGCTGCTGCTGCATGCAGCTGCGCAGCAGCATGCTTGCGCTGCTCGTCGCAGACTGAGGCAACAGCAGCAGCTGCTGCTGCTGCTGCTGCTTGCGCTGCTGCTCGCGTGTAGGCAGCAGCTGCTTCTGCAACTTCTTCGTCAGCAGCAGCAGCAGCAGCAGCAGCAGCAGCAAGAGCCCCATCAGGAACCATCAGGTTTGTTAGGTGCTCATCGTTGCTAGGCGAGGGCTGTCTGTACAACTGCAGCACTTTCTGCTGCTGCAGAGCAGCCTCGTGCTGCTGCTGCTGCTCTTGCTGCTGCTGCTGCTGCTGCTGCTGCTCCCGCAGCTCCTGCTGCTGCTCAGCAAGGGAAAGCGCTGTCTTACGTGCAGCGTCTGCTGCTGCTTCTCGCAGCTGATGGTCTGCTGCGAAAAGCCGAGGCTGAGAGCCCGCTGGCTGCTGCTGTTGCTGCTGCTGCTGCTGCTGCTGCTGCTGCTGTTGTTGTTGTTGTTGCTGCTGCTCCTCCTCCTTCGGCGTATGGCGGTGCTGTTGGTATGTTTCTCGCTGCTGTTCAAGCTGTTGCTGTTGCTGTTGCTGTTGCTGCTGCTGCTGCTGCTGCTGCTGCTGTTGCTGCTGCTGCTGCTGCTGCTTGGGGCTGTCATAGCTAGGGGGCAGGGCCCACCAAGAAAGGTCAGGAGACAGACGCCTCTGCAAAGGAGCCTCTGCAGGTGCGGCTGCCGACGAGTCTTCCGCTGCTGCTGCTGCTGCTGCTGATGGCTCTGCTGCTGCTGCTGCTGCTGCTGATGGTTCTGCTGCTGCTGCTGCTGCTTCCTGAGAACCCTCCTGCGCACGACCTTCTGCCGGGTCTGCTGCAGGAGGAAGACCTACCATAAGGAGGCCAAGCACCAAGCTTACAGCCTCCATCTTATCTCACAGCTACCTGCTGCTGCTGCTGCTGCTGCTGCTGCTGCTGCTGCTGCTGCTGTTGCTGCTCTTGCTGGTTCTGCCGATGCCGCTTTTCTAACAAATGATGCTAGTCCTGCTATTATTGCTGGAGGCAACGGCGTCACTATGTCTTTGCTGCTGCTGCTGCTGCTGCTACTGCTCCTCCTGCTGCTGCTGCTGCTGCTGCTCCAGTTGCTGCAGCTGTGGCTAGGCTCTGGACTCTTATTTCGATATTCTATGAGCCCGAGATGCGCTGATCCATTCTACAATTAG